CCCCCCCCCCCCCCCCCCCCCCCCAAAAAAAAAGCAACGTGGATACTCGACAAAATTGTCGTCTATTTGTCCAGGAGTTGAGCCCTATTGCGCCTGCCTTTGCTAAGCATAAGATTAGCGACGAATTTCGCCTCTAAGAGTAGCAACAATCTCTTAGACACTACTCATGATAACGCTAGTGATTTCACCTCCGATAGTGAGTACTCCACTGATAGCCAACATGTCGAGACGGAAGGAAGGCAGCGACAAAAGATTCCGGTATTATCTCTCACGCTTCTTCACGCTTTCGAGTCGATTGGCTTGCTGTACCATTATAGTTCAATATTTCGTCGCCCACGACTTGGTGGGAGATATTTACACTCAAAAGCCAAAGATGCAGCCCCAGATATTCCTTACTATGAATTTTCTCACGTCCAACAAAAGTTGAAAGAGTGGCGACAACCTGCAACTATTCAATCCGAAGCTAAGACTCTTGAAGACGAAGACAAGTCAACAAATCTTATAGAAAACACTCAAGCTCCGCCGACTTCGTCAACACCTGATGAAGGTATTCTATGCTTGCGGCTGTCGGCTGCAAATGCAAGACGCCGCGATCAACTAAGGTACTGGAATGGTCACCCTTTTCGTGTAGATCAGGACTCAATAGGGCATGAGCCCCCGGGTGACGTTGGTCCAGCAGAGATTCAAAGCATAGGGCATATTTCAGAGAATCGATCCTACAAATCTAACCCGACAGTTCATACTTTTTCTTCTGTTGCTCGTTCCGCCATCTTCGAGAGCGATGGCATTGCCGGAGCTTCACGGACCACATACGCCGAGTCTACAGTCGGAGACTCCAAATCAGCAAAGCGGCTACCTGCCGTCCCGCAAGTTTCGAAAAACTCCGCGTCTTTTGAGTGCCCATTCTGTCATATGACTCTCGAGTCTGGGGCAATGCAAGACAGAAACACATGGAAGTGAGCTAGTTTACATGTTTTCGTTGCCGGATTCAAGCATGTTAATCAATGTCGAAATTTTAGGCGGCACATTTTTAGAGATCTTCGGCCATACGTCTGCACTTTTGCAAAATGCAACAACCCAGATAAGCTATACGCTACGAGACGAGACTGGATCTATCATGAAATGCAAATCCATAGGCGTCAGTGGAACTGTCGACTTTGCAGCGATACATTTCTTTCTGGTGGCCAGATGGCATCCCACATAGAATGTATGCATGCAAATGAATGTGACAAAGGCCAATTGGATATCCTTCTTGAAGTCAGTGAGGGCCCGGTAGACGAGTCACTTTCCCAGCCATGTGTCTTTTGCAGTATTGAACTTCCCATCAAACGCTTACTGGAGCACATAGCGGGCCATCTCGAGGAATTGGCCATATTCGTTATGCCTAATGATGCGGGTAGCGACCCAGCGGCGGAAGAGTCATCTGGCATTCTCTCTTCGCTTGATTCCGCGGATGATGATATATCAATTCCCGATGTGGGATACGTCAATCCAGTGGACGTGATAGTGCCAACAAGTAATACAGAGCGGCTTCGCTATCTTGATACCGAGGACCCGAGTCCAATCGATACACCAAATCCAGTCAGTGCGGAAGTACCGATTTCTTCTATTTCCGGCCACACTGCTGAAGAAAGTCGAACTGGTCTAAGCGCACCACCGCCATCAGGAACGTACGAGTGTGAGGAGTGTGGGCGCGCGTTTGATCAAATCCACAAACTCAAGTAAGAACTAAATGAAGCGTTTATTTGATGATGATGAAATACTGACAGCGATCATTCAGTCATCATAGAAGATACCATGAGCGACCACACGAATGTCCCTATCCTGGGTGCGGCAAACGATTCGGGACTAAGACGCATTTAGATCGCCACATAAATGATAAACATGTTATTCAGAAGAATTACTACCATTGTACGGTTGGCGATTGTCCATACTCAGAAGCAGGTGGCAAGCGGTTCCCAAGAAAAGATAACTGGAGGCGACATATGATACAGAAACATGGCATTCACGCTGAATATGCACCAGCTCAAGCTTCATAAAAGCGTTCAAACTATAGTATATTGCCGGCTAGACATAATTGTAGAGTTCAGTCACATTGAAATGCCTTGTCAGGTCACAGCATGCAATTGATCTCTTATCATATGATCTTAATATCGGCATTCGTATAGTTAGTCAGCCGCAGCTGCGTATGCTAACGAGTTTTCTCCCAATTAGCAATCATGGTCCAGCATACCATCGTTCTCAAATCGTTCCCTAATTTACCAGGGAACCCTTTTGCGTAAACCGTACAAGCGGGAAGGATTCAGGAGCGACATTTAATCCTAGCAACGAACTAAACAGCAACCGGCTTTACATGGGGAAGCGGAATTAACGGAGAAAAATCTTCCCAATTAAGCAATCCCGCTATTTCCGTCTACCACGACGGCATGTGTTGCGCCTAGTCAAGCAGGTATTATTAGCTGTATCTTTGCATGAAATGTACCAAAGACTGTCATTAACACTGAGACGAAACATATTCACCTGTCTCTCTCTCTCTCTGTTTCTGATACAACAGAAGGTTACTAGTCACATGCAGAAGATGATTTCGATAATGAAAGTCTACAGTTGTGGTTAATTCATTTCTCCACAACTGATGAACTCATTGTCTCTTGAACACACCGGCTAGAAGGCAACTCGTGAGAACAAAATAGCTAAACCGGACCTAGTTCAATCCTTTCAGGTCTAGCGATGCATCCTCTTGAGCTGCTGAGGCACAGTAGGCTGAGGCACAGCAGTACGTCCGGACAGATTCTCATTCCACTTACCTGCTGAGGTAGTACACGTATGTTCGCATGCCATGCCAAGGATTTAGAGGCAAATGAAATTGTACATGCAGCGATTTACAGCTTTGCCGTGTTTTCTATCGGGTAGAACTTGTCAGCTTCACCCACACGAAATCCCAATAGAATTATTCAGCTCTCACCAGGGTTAAGCCGCCGATACGATAGCGAGCTACCGGGTTGTCATCCTACGGTTGAGGCGCCTTAAACAGCTTTATGATCCAATCATTTGCTCTTTGCTAGGACTGATTATGTGGGTTATCCGAAGCACTCAGACCAAGCCCGGAATCATATAGAACATCTCTTCACCCGACAACGCTCGCAAAGAAAATCAATTCATTTCCACTGTCCAGTGACATATAGCTAAGCTCACAAGTTTAGGAAAAGCAACATACTATTGTACTGATCCTCCAAGATATGTCTAACAAATCAGGGTTCAAGGAGGAATACCCTCCCAAGGCCGACTTGCGGAAGCTGTATCGACCTCTGCCCTTCATCACTCCCGGAACCGTCAAACCAGATCTAGGTAACGATGAGATTATGAAACAAGTTGGTTCAGTATTGAGCAACGTCAATGCTGCCCTAGAGAATGGTGACGCGCCAGCTCTAGAGCAGTGTTTCTTCAGTGACCAAGCCCACTGGCGCGACATTTTGGCACTAACATCGCACTTGCGAACATTTTCTACTCCGGCTGGAATTGTTGGGGCACTTCTGGCGACAAAGAAGCTCAGTGGCTTCTCTGGGGGTCTTCGACTTCAAGGCGAGCCCAAATTCGTGCCCGCTACTCCTGTATTGGTGAGTTATCCTCGTGTTCCTGGCTTCCTGCTTTTATTGCGATGGTATCTTCGATCTAGCCCTACATACATGACTTTTTCTGATATATCATCCCTGGTAGCAATTTATCGATATCTGGGTCACTTTCAGGACCAGTCGTCCTGCAGCAACATGTAATGGCCGTATCCTCTTGTTGCCAGTTAAAGAGACCAAAGACGACCAAAACAAGATAACATGGAAGATCTGGACATTGACAACGCTCATTGAAAACCTCGATCTCCAATCCGAGGATGAGTCTCTCCTCCGGTCCCCAGGAAAGAGCTTTGCTGGCGTTGAGGAGATTGAGATTCCCGTGTTCATCCTCGGAGGCGGCAATGCGTAAGTTCTTTATCATTTGACCCAGCCGCCGCTTAGCGAGTGACAGGTTGTCCATCTTTGAGCCCCATGACTAAGATCCCTAACAATGACTCAGTGCCCTAAGTCTTGCAGCACGATTAAAGGCTCTGGCCGTAGAAAGCGTTATTGCAGAGCGCAATCCCCATGTAGGCGACAACTGGGTGAATCGCTATGATTGTCTCCACCTCCATCTTCCAACAACCTCGTGTGAGATGCCATACCTTAGTAAGAGCACCCACGGCATATCTGAGCTTTTAAGTCTTCATTTGCCTAATATTGACGTTGTCAATTATGCTAGGTTATCCGAAGGAATGGCGAGCGCCACACTTGCTTACGAAAGATGAGATTGCGAAATTCACACGGGAATATGCCGAGACGTTCAACTTGAACGTTCTCACTTCTACGAGGCTGATATCTTCATCGTATAACCAGACAACGAAAAAATGGACGGTAAAGCTTCAGACACCGGAAGGGCAGAAGACGGTCATTACAGGCCAGTTTGTACAGGCAACAGGCATTGGATCAGCCATGCCATACATACCAGAGTTGTCAGGCCGGCAGAAGTACCAGGGTGTCAGTATACATTCGGCGCACTACAAAAGCGCACATCTACTCGCAGAACAAGGTGCTAAGGTGGGTCACCTCTGCATACTTGTTGAGCACCGGAACATGAACTCAATCTGCTTTTCTAGTCAGCCATTGTCATTGGATCTGCCAACACGGCCTTCGACATCATGAAAGACTGCCACAGCGCAGGGTTGCAAACCACTATGGTTGTGCGCTCTCCGACTTACATATTCCCTGTCAAATACATCAACGATGCACATTCTTTGGGTGTGTATGATCTAATGCCGGTAGCTGCCGCCGACCGCGCGATGATGACACTTCCAATGGTGATAGAGGGCCAGTTCATACACGGTCTGTTTGGTCACCTCGCATCTCTGGAGCCGTGAGCATTATTATATCTTGGATTGTTCGGAGATCTGGCTCGACTAACATGGTTCCAGAGACCGCTACAAAGCACTTGCTGATGCGGGCTTTCCTGTCATTGACAGCCGTCATCCGGATGCTGACGTCAACCACCATCTGAATGAGCGTGCTGGAGGTCACTACGTGGATGTTGGGCCCGCAGTAAAACTGATAGCTGACGGAAAGGTAGCCGTGAAGTCCGGCGTTGAGCCCAAAGGGTTTACAGCAACTGGCCTTGTCATGTCAGATGGAAGCACTGTTGATGCCGATGCCGTGGTATGGTGCACTGGTTTTGCGGACAGAGATGTCCGCGGTACTGCGGCTGGTATCTTAGGCGGCGCCGATGGCGAAGGCTCGACAAGCACAACTGGTAAGGATGTCTTAGGGCCCTGGGACGTTGCGACCCGCCTCGATGCAACCTGGGGCGTTGACGCCGAAGGCGAGATCCGCGGTATGTGGAAGCGTCATCTGCGCATGGAGAATTACTGGGTCATGGGCGGCCATCTACCACTTCAGCGATGGAACTCTCGGGCCCTTGCGCAACAAATCAAGGCGTCAATTGAAGGAATCCTACCACCTGCATATCGAGACACGCCCGGATCTTCGTAGAAAGTACGATGTTCAATCACTGGTCATGCGTGCATGTCACTCACAGAGCATATTGATGGTTGGCCAATCAGAGACCTTAGTTGCTGAACACATTTTTCCTTGTAATGAGCTGAAATAAAGTAAACTAAATCCATCTCTTGATGGCCAAAACCAATAATGTGACGTGTGAGAAGCCAATAACCTTGTGATGTGCTTCTAGTTGTAATCAGAAGTAGCGTGACCGTGTGTTGAGTACATCGTGCCGAAGTCGATATAACCAGCTGTAGAAGTAGCGCCTTGTGTGACATCCGTGAACAACACATTCTTGCTTTCTTCAACAGGCACGAATGATATATCGTGGAAAGGTTCTTCCCTCATGTCCTGGTTATACCACCTTGTTATGGGGTTAGCCTCGTTCGTAGGAGATGAACCCGGATCTGGGCTTATGCCACTCTGCGAAGCCTTCGTTTGAGGGTCCCAAGACCGGCGAATGGGCTTATGTTGAGTCTCTAGCACTAATGTCAGTATATATTGACGGCTTAGTGAAGGAAAAGACGGCCATACTTTTAGGTCTAGTATTCAGGGCCTCCTTAGTCTTCTTCTTGGACTTTCGATCGTTGCCATGCGAGGATGATGGAGGTGCAGCATCCTCACTCTTGACCGAGAGGTGGTCATTTGAGAAATTCTTCCAAATGTTAACAAACATACCCCTCTATGCCATGGATTCGTCTGACGACGTACCTTGGAAGAGGACATGTTTCAGGTCTTGAAGCTAGGCCTTCAGCAAAGTCCAGTACACATGAGCACGAAAGTCTCAAATAATAATATGACAGGTAAACCGGCGGCCAAGAGAATAGAGTGATTTGATGCGGCTATGTAAAATATGAGTGAGATTGTTCGAGTGTGTTTCTCGAGGGCTTCACCTGGAGATATCTTGCAGACAAGACGCAGGGAGAGCACTTGGATTTATACACGACTTTGTCCGGGTTCGCCGTCTCGCACTGAAGGCAATCCATCATGATCTCCCGGCCGCAAGCAAAGCGATTCAATCGAGAATGACTGTGGAGAATTGTAGTGCAGTTGCTGGCGCAAGATTTTGGACATGGCCAATCATGGAACAGTTGGAAGTAGATGGATGCCCGGCTATTGGCCGGGCTTTGAAGCCATCACCATGTAAAAGGCGGAGTGGCGTAGAGTAGATCTTCTGGGCATCTGTATAATCAAGCAGCGGAGGGAGGCTCGCTATAAGATTTTGGACAGAGCCAATGAGAGAAGGGGGCCGCCGATGACCCCTGCGTGGCCCGGGACCAAGCCACGCCTTACAGCAAACAGGCAACTGACGCGGGGTGGAGGCGCTGTGAAAACAACATGATTACTCCTTCTCAGGAGACGTCAAGGCTTCGGGCGATTCAGGAAGCCCAGATCGACAGCGTATTGCTGGTAACAGAGGATCGAGGCCTCCCCACACACTGGAACGGTGGCACTCAGCCCGCTGTTCCCTGCTGCGTTTCGCTCTGGCGGAACCTGCAAGAGTTTACGAAGCGAAGATTGAGCGAGTAGATTTTCGATGCATGGGGCTGCATTGAAGAGATCGGAATGCAATACTTACCTACTATGCAGTATAGATACTGTGGTCCGTGCATGGAATGGCCAGTCTGGCAATTTGAACGCTAATAAGCTGGAATATAAGTACTATCCAAGTAGGTTACATGAAGTCCAAAGCCAACCATGTAGCTTCCAGATTTTGGACACAGCCAATGTAAGTCGAGGCTGTGGGGATCACTTTGCTCCTGTGTAACCCACCAAGAGGTGGCAGCATAGAGGGTTGACAGCCAGTCAGTCATACTGCCTTGGCCCAGGTTCTTTCAGACTTGAAACAGCCCTCAATCTACTCTGCTGGAACTCATAGGCTTTCTTTTTTTCTTACCTTTGGATTTGATTCCATAGTTCGCTTGCAGACGTTTCCCATACATCTCCACGATTTCTCCTTCACTCCTCAGCATCTCTCAGAGGTTGCGATTTAGTTACCACCTGCGAAGCTCTCAATGAAAAAGATTGGAAACAGCCAGTGTCACTCATTGCAGTAGCCTTGAGTCCTATGCCTTGGACCAGCCTTAATGAGAGGATTCTCGAATATCTCTTGAGATCTGGCTTCACCGCCTGCGAAACGGCGATTTTTCAGGCTATCTGGCACAAACGGCTAGAGCATTTGTCCACAGCCCTCCAGCACTCGCCTCAATACATACACAAAAGTTCTCTGGCCCCTACCGGATTGAACCGCATGATTCACGATGACCGTGGAAATGTTGATCAAGACTCTGTACTATCTATCATAGACACGGTGTACGATGTCGACTACGATCGTGTCGATTTAAACAATGTTGAAAGCTTATGTCGTGCGAGGGAACGTCGTGATAATAGGGACCTCGACGAGTATATATATACCGATTCTCGCACAGTCGTGCAGTTCGCTGCAGGCATTGGCGATTTGAAAATCATGGCTCATTTACTGGAAAAAGGCTGTGATGTGAACCAGCCGCCATATTTCTTTGGAGGTGCCACAGCACTGCAGGCGGCCGTCATCGGCGGCTTCATTGGTATGGTACAGCTTCTTCTCGATAATGGAGCATATTGTGATGCACCTGGTGCTGAGGAACTTGGCCGGACTGCCCTTGAAGCAGCTGCCGAGCATGGCCGGCTCGACATACTGGCGCTGCTATTAAGTCGCGGAGCCAGAATTGACGGGCCAGGACAGGTCCAATATGTGAGAGCCATCTACTTTGCCGAACATGAAGCACAACATGCCGTCGCACAGTATTTGAGGAAGAGACGAGAGTGGTCGGCTCCTGACCAGAGACTCTATGAAGGCTACAAATGTGTCGGATACAATGAGATGAATCGTGGCTATTAGCGGGACGATACAACACCTGACGGAGGGGCAGACACAATACCGTAGGATGATTTATTTAGATTCCCTGACGATCATGAGTAGACAGCCTGCTCATCGAAGCAGCTACCTTTACCTTGTAAAATTGGACGTAACTGGACTTGTTTGAATTCTATGCATCTTTCCTATTCATGTATGATATCGTAATAAACAAAAAGCTGTAGAAGTACAGTAGGTATGCCTCCCCCGCGTGTCATCCCCCCCGACAATCTCTTCTTACAGCTTCATCCCCATCGCCTTAGCCACCCTCAGCGATTGCCTCATGCTCAAATCCAACATAATCTCCTCACTGCCACCGGGGATCGCATACGCCCTCACATCTCTGTACAGCCTCTCGACCTTACCGCCCTGCCCGCCGCGCGAGTAACTCAGGCCGCCAAATATCTGGCTCGCCTCGCGCGCGCAGAACTCAAACGTGACGGTGCTCTGGGCTTTGAGGCCGGCGATGGGCCCGCCGAGGCGCAGCATGGCCTCTGTCTCGCCCATCTTCTCGCACTGGTAGATCATGTTCTCGAGCCAGGCGTACGAGGCCTCGATCTGGCGGGCCATGTGCGCGAGCTTCATGCGGATGACCGGGTGCTCGATGAGCTTCTTGCCGAAGGTGCGGCGCTTGTTGGCGTACTTGACCGACTCCTCGTAGCAGACGCGCGAGAAGCGCAGGCACTGGATGATGATGCCCATGCGCTCATGGTTGAAGTTGGTCATGATGACTAGCGGGCTGTTAACATCGCGCTACGTCTCGAGTTAAATTCGTGCAGGGGGGGAAAACATACCTCTGAAGCCCTGGTTCTCCTTGCCCAGCAGGTTCTCCACGGGGACCTTGACGTCCTCGAACGTGATGTAGGTCGTTCCGCTGGACCACACACCCTGGCAGTCCATTCTCCTCGTGGAAACACCGCCAAAGTCGCGCTCAATCAGCAGCAGACTCACGCCATTCATGCCAGGCTTGCCCGTGCGCACCGCGACGGTGAAGTAATCCGCCCAGATGCCGTTTGTGATCCACTTCTTCTCGCCATTGACGATGTAATGCTTGCCGTCCTCGCTGAGCTTGGCCTCGCACGTCAGGTTCGCCACGTCGCTCCCGGCATCCGGCTCCGTGATCGCCAGACAGATGCGCTTGTCGCCGTTCAGGATGCCCGGCAGGATGCGATCAACAAGACTCTTCTTGCCGAACTTGACCAGCGGCGGGCAGCCGATGCCGAACCCGCCAATGACGTTCCAGACGAAGCCGCCCGAGCCGGTGCGCGACAGCTCGTCGGTCAGCAGCATCTCGTGGAACAGGTCCCACTGCTCGGGCGCGACGGACTTGACCGTGTTGTCGACGTAGTCCTTCTGGTAGTGCATGCCCAGCAGGCCGGCGAGGTAGCCGCGGCGGCCCATCTCCTTGTAGATGGCGGCGGGGACCTCCTTCTTCTCGTCCCACTCGGTCACGTTCGGCTCGATCTCCGTCTCGACCCATTCGCGGACCTCGGCGCGCAGAGCGGCGTGCGACTCGTTGAAGAAGGGGGAGTGGAACTGCGAACGTCCGGATAATTAGCACCTTGTATTCTGCTGATTCTTTGCCACGCAATTGCTCGCATGCTAGACGGGAAAACACTTACACCTTGGTACCAGTTCGGATCCGCAAACGGAATCTGCTGGCCAAACGGCTCCAGCGCCTCGGCCTCCTCCTGGGAGCTGCTCGCCGCCGCCGCCGGGGCAGCAACCTTCTTCGGCAGCTCCTTTTTAGCCGGCGCAGCCACGGGCGCGGGCTCAGCGGCGGGTTTTGCGGCCTCGGCGGCCTTTGGCTTTGTGTCGAGACTGCCGACCTGCAGCTTGGCCTTGTACTTCTTGAGGATGCCCTCGTTGTGGTACTTCCAGAACTGCTTGGAGGCGTCCTTGCCGGCGACTCTTTGGAGGATCTTCTTGCCGCCTGTAGATTGGGGGTGCGTCTCGGTTAGCCTCGGTGCAGCCATTCAGGTGTTGTGATGTACGGCTTCTGTTACAGCGCAGCGCAGCACAGCAGAGCACAGCCGAGAATCCCGGTGCGGCGGGAAGGATTGGGCCCTGCATTGCGCACTGCAGCGCTGACAGACCGGGGGGCCAGAAGCGGCAGCAGAATAGCAGCGTACGTACCTGGATGATCATCTTGGAATTTAGTCACGTCGTAGACATCGTCGTCGATGACGATCCATAATGAGTCGGGCGTCTTGTGCGACGCAACGTCGCTCTGTGAGAAGGTTTTGGACATATTGTGGGCGGATGTCGTGGCGATGTGGTACCGGGAGTTGTGCGAGGGCGGCAGCGAGGACAAAGTCTCTATATATCTCTAGCACAGCGTGCGTACACGACGAATCTACAGTCAGGGAAGAAGATTGAGGGTATTCAGAAGGACACAGAAGAGAGAAAAGAAAGAAAAGAAAAAGGAAGAGCTCAAGAGTCTACGCAGGTTTAGGAACGAAAGCGCCGAGTCTCACATTCCTTTAAAGAGTGGCCCGGTCAAGTTCGGCAACGGGGCACCAAAAAGGTGGCTTTCACATGCTGCGAGCGGAGCGACGTCAGGTTCAAGAGAAAGTAACTACATGAAATCACGACGGCCGGCGGACGCACGCCAGGACGGGAACAGCGCTGGCCGCCGCCTCCCCAGACTCCATAGGCACCAGACACTTAATTGACGCCAAATTAGACCCAGCAAATGCGAGAATGGGCACATGGCAGCCCTCTGCATCCAATGGGAGAACGGGGAATGACATGCAAATGCAAGCAGGCTCGAGGAGGCAGGCTGCAGGGTGGATGAGCAGATGAGGTGCTGAATTCTAAGCCGCGGACTGCCCCTCAATCAATCAATCAATCGACGGGGTTCTCATGTACATACATACTCCTTGTACAGACATGGACTGCTCTCTCTCTTGTGGGGAAGGGTGCTTGCTTGCTCTGGCGGGAGACACACCAGACACTCCGTGGAGGATTCGTCTATGCTACTGCTTTTGACTTGGTTACTCCGATGCACTAGCTACCATTTGGCATAAGACCGCAAGATCTTCCTTCGAGCTCGAGCATCTGCCCTCTACACGAGTAGACTGATTGGGAAGCAGAGGCGACGGACGGGCGGCATTGTTGTCAATGGCCCGGTACCGGTAGCACAGGAGAAGCATGTCAGTCATGTGCATGCGCCTCTGGCCCAGATCAGATCAAACCAAACCTGCGTCGATGGTCGAGGCGAGTTTTTGCACGCGCATGTGATCGAGTCTCAAGCGTATTTCTGTGCCTGATGTCATGGAGATGTGCCGGACCAATCTGCTGGTGCGCATTTCGCATTGCCCGAACACACGCCCCAAAGAAACATGCCGAGGTAACGACCCCATGCTCTCCCCCCAATCACCCCCCAATTGTCCCCACATCTCGGCGCGCCGCAACGCTGAGTGATTAGTTCTGGAGATGGACCTGAAGCTGGAGTAAGACGACAGAAAGCGGAGGACGAATGCGGGCTGGCTGGTCTGGCTTATTGCTGAGAAGCCCCGAGAATGCATTCCGTCGACAGCATGATTGGTCAATAAGCAATGTCTTGCATTCCTAACATCGGAATACTGCACCCAAAACGGCGAGAAGTGGACTACCGGGTTGTCTGGAACGGCTGCAGTGCCTTGCATTTACTATGCCTTTGTTTCGGCTGCAATCGATCAGTCAGTTAATCAATCATGTGTAAGACAGATACATCGAGGAGCAGCTCATAGCAACGAGCCAACGCTCATTCGTCAGCCACCATCCATCCGCTTGCATTGTGCTCTTGTTGTTGAAGCCATTGTGCTCGCTTCTCTCTTTTCCGCCATCCTTGCCAGGCCCCCTTCCAATAACTCCTCGAGCAAACGCCAAATATACACACCACACAGCCTCTAGAAGATGTGGCGTGACATGATATCAAAGCAATCATAGCTGCCACCAAAGAGTCTGGCGCTGTCTCCAGCCAATAAACAATGGCCCGTCGAGTGTAAGCCACCCCGAATAGGTTGGCCGTCTATGCACCGCGAGGCTTGGCCTTAGCTTTGGCTTTCTCCTTCTTATCCTCCTTGAGCTTCTTCTTCTTAGCCTCGTTCTGCTCCTCCAGCTTGCGCTTGTGTGCCTTCTGCTCCTCCTCTGTCTTGGGAATTGGCTTGAAGAAGCCCTCCAGGCGACTCTGTTGGTTGCTCTTGAGATTCTTCTCTAGTCTCGCGGCGCCAGCACGCACTCGGTCCTCCGAGAAGCCCTTCTCGTTCACGAGGAATTGTACCAGGCCATCCGTGTCGGGCTTGTCCCATTTGAAGTCGCACAGCGGGTCCTCGGCAGAACGGACGTCCGGCTGGAAGAAGAGGTCGCGCGCATCCTCGTACGGCCAATCATCTGGGATTGTGTATTTGCCCTTCTTGTCGTTCTTGATGAACTCAACAACCTTGTCGAGAGTGCCGTGCTCGCGAATCAGCTTCAGCGCGGTGTTGGGGCCGACTTTGGGGATAGGATCGAGGTAGTCGCAACCGAGAAGGATGCAGAGATCGACAAACTGTAAATGCATGGGTAAGTAAGTGACGTTTTTGGAGCCATGGAACTTCTATACCTGTGCGCGCTCCATGTTCAAGCCAGCCAGGACCTTGTCTAGAAAGATCTCCTGGATAGGTTCTTTGCGCTGCTCGCTGAAGGTAAGATGCCGTAGCAGAATAGGTGAATCGAAGCAGAGGGTGTCCATATCCTCACTCGCCGCCGCGTAGACCTTGCCAGCTCTGGCCAGAACAGCACATTGCGCCTCGGCCTCAGTCGGCGCGATCAGGTACGGTATACCCATCAACTTCAGCAGCTTTTGGCACTCAGCGTTGTGCTCCTTTGTGACTCGGACGGTTCTCCGTGAGAACTTCTCGACATCCTCTGCTGTACCAGTCTCCTTGGCCTCCTCCAGGCCCTCGTTCGCCTCTTGCTTTCGCATGTAACGTCGGGCCAGCTCACCGGATTTGAGCTTCGGCGGGGCACCGTCAAAGACGTAGAGGGGCTTGATGCCATTGTCGACCATGCGCAATGTTCTGTAGAACATTCCCATGAGATGTGAAGTCGTCTCACCGCTCTCGTTCATGAGTTGTTGGCCATCGGATCGCACCGCAATCAGGAAGGAGTAGATGCTCATGGATCTGTGACATGGTAAGCTTCGGTCCGATCAAGTTGGGTGTAATTGACATACGCATCCTGAGGATTTTGTCAGTGATATCCAGATAAAACCTAAGGTATTGACTCACAATGGCAACCTTACGACCGAACTGATTCTTGATCTCGCCTTCCTTGATGGCATCCGGCGCTTCCTCCTTGATGATCGAGAAGAGCTGTTTAATACCCATCTTGACGGTGATCTGACGGGATTTGTTTCTCGCGTAGCTTTTGGGTTCTCCGAGCAGATATATGTGTTTCTCGATATCTGCTTGAGGAAGAGGTGAAGTGGGATTAAGGACGCAGGCAGAAAGCGTCGCTTCAATGGTGATGTCACGAAACTTTTGACACGCGCTGCACACGGAAGGCGCGACGCGATTTTTAATTGAGGTGCAGCGAGTCTGGGTGGGTAGTTTGGCGCTGTGTTAAGTGGGGTGGGGTAACCTCAACGGACATGAACAGGTAGGTGCGACTGGCCACTTTCACAGCAACACAGAAAAGCTGCCTCACACTGGAAGGAAGCTGCGACTGACGGGTGCTGCCTTCGGTTCTTTCTCTTAAATTCTTACACACATACATATTATATGCTCATTATAGACTCCAAGGTAAAGTGTCTATGTATTCACCAGGTTGAAGCATTTTGATGGCATTGTCCAGCGTGCAGTGTCTCGAGCCCCATTCTCTAGGCTCTGGCGATGAGGCATTCAGACTTTGCCTACTCCATCAACGAACGAAGCGGTAATGCGGGCTCTCGTCTCCTAGCTCAGCTAACTCATCATCCGACTGGCCCTCATAAGCAGCGCCAGCTCCGCCAGCAGCGTCCCTCCGCTTGTTTTCTCTCGTGAACCACACCGACATGAGTCCGTAGATGATTGTCGCCATGGCCACAAGTGACAGCGTCGTCGCGTGACCTTTGATGTACCGTGGCCCTTCAGCAGTGAGGCTAGAAAAGGGGGATCGCTTGTCAGCATTTGCATCTTCCGGGTCTGAACTTGTATTCGCGGCGCATTTGACTTACTAGATGAACGGAGCCATGATACCAGAGCAATTGCCCATGGTCAACTGCATGCCATTTGCTGTTGTCCTCTTACCATATCGTGGAGTATTGTTCGGTAGCTGTGGCATACGCTATCAGTGAGGAGCCCTTGTTTGATTCAAGAGGAATGACCTACCCAAGCCAGAGGCAGTCCGACCACAACATACAATCCCATGGCCACCAGGAAGCATCTTTATCCACTGAATTAGCAACATACCCCGTTCATCTAGTCTTTACACACTTACCCAAAGTAGTGCACTCCGGATGAAGAATCCGACACCAAAATGCCATACCCAACCACACTGACCGACCCGAATATCACACAGAAGATGCCCCGCTTCTGCATGTGATCCGACAGGTACGCAATAGACATGTACGTCGCTGCCCCGAGGAAGTAGCACGGCATCGTGAGCAGCTGGACCTGCGCGGCCGTCCACGTGCCTAGGCCCTTGATGATGGTCGGCAGGAACGTCGAGAAGCCGTACAGCATCGTGTCGACGCCGAACTGCGCGATGCAGAACGCCCACACCTTCCAGTCGCGGAACGCCTTGTTCATATCCTTCTTGCTGAACTCGCGCGCGCTCGTCGTCATCCCGTACTCGCGCGAGTGGCGCGCCACCAGCATCTTCTTCTCTGCGTCGCTGAGGAAGTACGCGTGCTCGATGTCATTGGGCAGGAGGAAGAAGACGAGCACGCCCAGGAGCACTGAGGGGATGCCCTCGATAATCATGATCCAGCGCCAGCCGCTCATTCCTGCGACGCCGTCCATGTGGCCGATGCCGTAGGCCAGCAGTCCGCCGACTCCGCCCGCAATAGCTGCACTGACAATGAGGTAGCCCACACGGAGGGCGAGCTCGTGGCGCGTGTAGAAGAAGGTGAGGTAGACGTTCAGGCCGGGGAACAAGCCCGCCTCGACGACGCCGAGCAGCAGCCGGCATGCAATAAGGCTGCCATACGACTGCACCAATCCTGTAAGCGTAGCAATGATGCCCCACGCAGTCGTGATGAACGCGATCCATATGCGCGGCGTTAACTTCTTCAGCACCAGGTTGCTCGGCACCTCGAAGGCAAGATACGTCACGAAGAGGATCGACACGGCCGTCTGGTACTGGTCGCCGTGCAGGCCGAGGTCTTCCTCGAGCTTATACAGTCGCGCATTGCCAATGTTGACTCGGTCCAGAAAGCTGAAAAGGTAGAGGCTCATGATGAGCCAGATCAGGTAAATGTCTAGCTTGCGGACCAATTTCTTCTCGATTGCGGCCAGGTCGGCCGGCTCCTCCGTCATGTCCAAGGGTCCATCCGGTACGCCGTTCTTTTCGGTGTGGGCCAGCTGCCCGGGGGCCTCCTCGTCGGTCTTCCGATCTGACTCCATCCCTGCCGTGTTCCCGGAGTGAATGTTGGTGGAGTGAGCGGTACTGAAACGGTTTGTGTAGAACCTCGCGATTGAATGAAGAAGTTTCAATGCGATCTTTCTGTAAGAGTCGGATTTTCTGAGTCGGGTGAGGAAGGCGCGTCTCACTTAAGCTCCAGCTGCCGCATGCGACAACGGTGAAATGACGTTTGTGGAAGTCAATCGACAAAGCTCATTCAGATGCGCGCAATTGACTCAAGCAGGACCCAGGAGACTCTTCACTTTTACAACGCAGCCGAGAGGGTGAATGGATTGCTAATCAAAGCAAGCAGCCTCAGCTATGCGTCACACCACATAATTAACATCAGACCAGAGCAGAACTTTTTCCGAGGGTTCACGGCGGCTTTATTAACTAAGCGTCCCTTTTTTTCTCCCACGATATCGACCGATGTTTGGGCGTCCTCCCCCACTCTTGTAGTGTACCTAGGTAGCTCCCGAGCTCGAGTCAAGGATTCACCAAATGCCAAGCTGCTTAGCTACAGGGGAGGTAAGCCGCTCTTATCAGCAATCTCGGACTCTCTATCACTTGGCACGCATCCATGATCCCAATGTGTACATGCATTTCGCACTTCAGTCATAGTTATTATGTATACTTTGTCCCGAATCTTGCCCTCCTGTCGGGAGCGGCAAAGCCCTCGCCGCCTTAGCAGCGCTAAACCACAAGGTGCGCCACGAACATCGTTTAGTCCAGTCGGCAGTGCCAGTGAAAAAAGGGGGTCTCCTTTCTGCTACTGTATACCCGAACCACGAAACTCTGCTCGTTTTGTCTACTTGTGTCACCTTTACTAAGATGATAGATGATAAGAAGTAGGAGAGGTATCATGTCAAGCCTAGAACTAAGCAGACACATCCTACATTACTTGCACAATGCCCTATTTAACTTTAGAAAGAAAGATCTTTGACATTTTCATAGAAGACTTTGCTCCCATTTCACATGACTATAATGAGATAATGGAGCGCATATTATCGTTAATATCTTTTTCTTGAGGTATCAGGGCTAGCAGCTTTGAAACTAGTGCGTTTTCTCCAGAGTAAGACCTACTGAATATCGGTCCCAACACATCAACATCCTTGTTTACAGCCGAGTGTTGCCCACGACGAGATCTCGTCTCCTCGCTGATATGTACTCGTACCTCCTCGATGATTGGTGTCACCTTGCTGCCGCGAGGAGAAGGAATATAGGCATGGACATGCATTGCCATCATGCCAACGGCTTCGAAGAGGAACAAACGCCATGAAGCCGTAGGTTTGGGCTTTTCGACGAGGCCTGTGGGCCATGTACTTTTCCTGATGTGCAAATGGCAACAGTTTCAGACCTGAGTTTTGTTGTTCGCAAAAGGAAGATGGGGCGCCATTACCCCCAAAGTCGGAATTATGTCCAGCCACAGGATGGAGGAGCATAAAGTACAGCTAGGAAGCGCTTTGAAACACTGGAGTCTTGTCTTCGGAGTTGTCCTGTACTCTTTCTGTGCCATTATACTATGCTCAATGATCGATAAGGTCCCCCATTCTATACAGCTGGAGCCCCCGTTCGCCGCTTGCCTTGTATTTGATCCCAAGAGCGGCTCCATTGCCACCGTTATAGATAGCATCCCTAAACCACTCCATATCTGCCAACCTTCCACTCTCAAAGGGGACGACAACATCTGAAATATCTTCTGGGGATAGGCGTATTTGGAGAATCATGTTTCCCCAAGCATCCAAGAACAGGAACAACAACCTATCCGTCCCGAAAGCTTCTTCATCTGCGACAATCAAGAATCGCTTGCAAGCCATGAGCTGCAATTTGATTCCCGTAACTGAAACCTCGACCTGGCCTTCTTTATCAACAGCATTTTGCACCTCTTCCCTAAGTCTATCGCGGCACTTTGCAAGCGTATCACGTTCGTAATCCGGGGCATCCGGTCCGCCAATCGCCTTACTATACCGCTGCGGGGCGCTGGCAATCTCTGGAAGAATGTAAAGAACACGTTCCCATTTTGCTTCGAAGCCGAACACCTCAGAATCGTCCAAGACTCGCCAGAACGCTTGATCAGGGTTGAACGACAGATCCTCGTCGAGCCACTCCTGCAACTTAGCCCTACCATCGTCTTGATCAGCGTAGTGCGTCCGTAGCCAGATGCCCTCATGCCCTGAGAGCTGTCGCCAGATCACAACGGCAGCTGCCCGCCAACGTTGAGAACGCCATGGTGTCAGTATGCGGGACGCCTCTTCCACAGTGGGGATGCATATGTCTCTGGCTTCAACATCCTCGGCCATAACAGGGGTTCGTACTCCATCCCACTCCTTGGGAATCGTGTCTAAGGAGAGGAACAAGCTAACGAGGCGTTCCCGCTGCTCTACATCGGAAGTGGGTGATGCCGGATCCCAGTGGCGCTACCCTTTTTAGATATAAACGTGGCAGAATTGTGATAGCTGTAGACAGGTACTTAGCCTTACAATTAGATATTGCTCCACTGGCAAGGCACCCCAAGCAGGAGTGACCTCGTAAATGCCAGGCACTGGAACAGACATAACTGTTTATGCATTGAGATTTGTTGCTTGGCACGAATGGTCCTCGGCTCGACAGATGCAGGAAGCAGGGTTGATTGATTAGTGGAGGAGGGAGAAAGCTTTATTGTGACATTTCAATACTCTCATATAGGCTAGCACGCCCAGTGGGCTTTGTAGTAAATACAACATTCTTCTTTATTTTATCCGAGAGGGGGCCCAATCACAAGTAGGCATATAGGGCTGAGCCACAGAATAATACTGCTTAATTAACTTTCATTCATTATGTTTGCGACGTAGTGTATATCTGCGAACAAACTGCTCTTTGAATGAGCAATTATTACAACAACAAGTTTAAAAATCCCAGTGATACATAGACGCACGGTTGCCGGCTTATCTCCCAAAGAGAAATTTGATATGATGCAGTAGCTCAGACCGTCGGGCAACAAAAAGACCCAAGGTACATCATCTGATTCTTAGCTAGTTTGAGGATTACGATTAACTTCTTCCCACAAGGGTGGGCTTTGGTTACATGTGCAATACGTAGACGCTATATTGAAGGCTGAAGAGTTTGTGAGATATCTTGCTGGTGGAATGACCAGATCATCAATCCAGTAGCTATGAAGAATGTATGGGAGGCATTGTCGCCTGAGCACTAGCAAACGGGAAGCTTACGTAAATTAAATGCAGGAGAAACGATATGGGTATGTCGAGAGTTTAACTATTGGTCGTCTTCTGCCTGCTGTGTTCCACTCTAATGGTAGTACTCCCGATCAAAATATATGCAATTGAGTCGTTTTTAGTTGTTCCAAATACCTTCTATGTGACTGCTGCGATTACTAGTAGTGATCGAATAGGTGTTGCCGTTGGCAAGGACTACTACCTGAAGATCACCTCGGTCACCCCGAGAAAAGGGCCTAATGTGAGCTTATAGCAGCAAGGCTCACTCAACTCACCTCATTGACTCTAGTATAGTAAGCCGAAGTATCTCCGTCTATAAGTCTGTCGTATGGGCCTAGACTAAGGCTAGGTTAGAATTTGGACTAGATACTCGTCACAACGGTGCCCATGACAGCATCCTACTCGCACGTTCGCGTAAACCGTAAAATTTGCTTCCAGCATCTAGTATAATGACCTATCCGTCTTAAGGCATACCATCCTTGTCCTCTTGAAGGAGCCGAGCATTGAACCACACTCTTTTCAACCAAGGCAAATGCTCGAGCCCATACGCGAGACCTACTAATATAGACTTTTGGAGATGGTTATCTATATCCTCGAAGTAGGTATCTATAATAATACTATCTAAACCAAGCGAGACAAGCTAATTGACACTGTCAACAAGGAAAACAATTTTTCCTTTCTAGATCCATACAAAAAAGATATTACCTAGCTTTGATAAGTAGGTTTGGCTAATCCTTTCTTATCTGTCGTCTATACCATTCAATCTCGCTCAAGGAGGCTGGAACTTGAACTTCAAATGGGACATAGATCACCTTTTCCCTCTCTCTAGGCTCATATGTCTCACTTTGCTCTTCTACCTCTACCGCTAGAGAGCCCCTACACACAAATGAATTTCTTATAACGCCACCGAATATCTACTTACATTGTGGACAGGTTTTCGAGCCAGGTGGCGGCTGACTGATTTATGTTTTTATACAGTCAGGATGAAACCATGCTTGACACTGTGAACCCTCTTGGGCTTGTTTATGGTTGTGGGCCACGCTATATTCTTTGAGACATGTCTGGCAAATCAAACATGTATCGTCGGTGGTAGCTTCGCCATACTCTGGAACGATTTCCGCCTGATCGATGCTATCGGTTGTTGTTGTAGGTGTAAATCTTGACAGCGGCTTATACTCACCAGAAGCAGAATTTGACATTATGCGGTACTTGATGATTGACAGTAAAAAGCCTTTAAAGGCAGGGAGATTCGTGCTTGGAAGAAGTTGATAAACAGACTGATGCTGATATACTCATTCTTATGGAAGTGGGGGGTACTGCCGATATTGGTTTCTCAGAGGACGTCCATACAGGGTAAGCAGTTTCTCTTGAAATAAAGTTTCTAGCAGTCATAAGACTAATATGCAAATATAGAATCGGTGCAGTGGATCGAGACTGGAAAGTCAAATACATTCCACTCTGCCTTGCGACCGGAATGTGCCCACCTACACCCCGTTCATTCTTCTCTCAACAGATGCGTTGGGCGCGAGGCAGCACCACTCTATTGACGAACAAGGACTTTTGGACTTCGAGTCTGACGCTTATGCAGAAGGTCTGCTATCTATGCGGTATGTTTGACCCGTTACAACGTCGTGGACACATGACTGATCTAGTGCTATCTACCTAGGCTTCTTCTACTACTCCGCTGTTTCGCTGAGCATCTTCATATCACCAGTTCCTGGCATTTTACTCCTCGTATTCGCCCGGACTGGTTTAAATTCTACAACTTGGCATTCGCTATACCATCTATC